CCCCCCCCACCATGTCATTCAGTCAAAGAGCGAACAGCTCACGCCTTTGTCCGCTGTTGCAGATCGCTTTCGAGGTCCTGAGCTTTGTCTCCGTCGTGTCCAACTGCTGGCTGCTGCTGCTGTCGCCACGGTTACAGCAGCTGTGCCAGGAGGGAGGGCTGAGCAGCACAAACATTCTGCTGTTGGCTGTTTTGGTCGAGGTGAGAAGGACGACGGAGAAAAATCAAACAATGACCCCTGAGTTCTCTTAACATCTTCAATTCTTTGCGTCTCTGCAGCATTTGCTCATCTTGGTCAAGCTCATCTTGGCGGTTCTGATCCCAGATGAACCGGACTGGATCCGAAAGAAGAGAGAGCACATCGACTTCACGTCCATGGAGGCTCTGAAACAGCAGGTCAGCCCGGTTGTCCCCTGAGTTTCATTCCCACCCTGCACACCGGGAGGAAGCTTCTGTATAAACGTGTTTCTAAGCGCACACGGGTCCACCGCATGTTTTACTGATCACATGAATAAACTTCATACTTGGAACATAATTTAAAAAGAAGTCAGACGATTACATCATCGGGTATCTCTGCTTCCTTGAGAAGTATCGACGTGACCCAATATATTATCGGAATGATGCAATCATGACATCACCAATAAGATCAGAGACATTATACTAAACAATCTTTGTCATCATAGGGTTTGAATGACGTAATGAATATCACTGCAGGTTATGTGTCACCCTCCGTTGTTTTCTTCTCCTCCATCTGATAACTTTTTCTTTCTTCTCTTCCAGAAGCTGCAGGGTGAAGAGTGATGATTGTGTTTCAGTGTCGGTCCTCCCCTGCAGGGACTACACCACATGCAGCTGTCCCCTGTTACTCCCTGTGCACACTTTAAACTCCCTGCTGCCGTGCGTTCTAACGAGCGCAGTGCTTCTGCAACGTGCACACTTTGAAATGCACCGTTATTTACTCTACACGCAGACTGCAGGTGCAATCACAACAGCTGTTAAAAGTAGTTTTCCCGATTCTAAGCAGCAAATGGAATGTAGTGGTGGTTTGCGCCCTCTGCAAAGATGGTGTTAGGGTAAAGGAGGGTTTGTTCAGATTGAATGAGAGAGAGATCTGATCTGCTCTTGTAAAATCACTATGTCAATATTTAGGGCCTGACAGGAAATAGTATTTAATGTTACTGTCGGAGTACTCGACAAAATGTTCCTTTGTTTTCTGTTTCAGGAACGTGTTTGCTCAGTACCTGGTGATAAAACACTAGTGCTCAGGATTTAGAATCAGAGGACAGTATCATCACTGGACGGATAATCACAACAAACCTTCTACTTATGTAAAGTCTGTATTAATATGAGTCTTATAAATTTAATTTCACACGAATAGTGTTTCTGTTTGGAAAGATATTTGGCACTGTTGCTGTGGAAACATAAAAAAATGCCTTTAAAACAGCAGTTTATAATGTAATCTTTAAAGTTGTAGACTTTATTTTACATTACAAACAATGT